TTGTCCATTAAGACTCCAAGATCCCTTTCCCAGTTCCTGCTATTGAGTCCGGTTTCATCCTGTCCATATGTGTAGTTTTGGGTTTTTTTTCTTGCCTAAGTGTCAGACTTTATTACTGCCGGACTCAAACTCACAGTCTCTTGCTGATTGGCCCAAAGTCACTCGGCTATGCCTATGGTTCCACTAGATCTGACGGTCTCCTGGTTATTGGCTATTGTAAATCCCAAAGCTGACGTTTGTGCAGGTTGCAGAAATGGAACACACCACAATCTCCTGGCGATTGGCTCAGCTGTCTTTCACACATGGGGGCGAGACTCAAACTCCTCACTTCTGGCCCGTTCCCTTTGACCTCTAAATGAAATTGGCTGCCATTTAGCAGGTCTGTGGGTGCCAACCTCTCCCAACTGTCTGAGCCCCTGAGCCCAGGTGGTATCTCCTTGCAAACAACCTGTTTGCAAAGGCCATGTCTGCCCACCCAGTGGCTGTTGCTTAGTGGCTTATGGGGGGGGGGGGTCATCTCTGACGTCACAGTGGAGGGAGGGGAGGGGGCAGGAGGGGCTGTAACTGTCAGGGAAGGCCCAGCCATCAGCACCCAGGCCAGCTGCCCAAAGCCGCCATCATGGTTGCCCAAAGCCTGCTTGGTTGCATCTTCCTCTTCCTGTTCACGTCCTTTTAGGTAGGGGGGGTCCAAATCCCCCTGGGAGCAGCAGCTGCCCTCCCAGAAGCCCATGCTGGAGTCCGTGCAGGGGGAGGCCTCCTGGGTGCCCCCGATGAGCCCCCCCCCCGGGCGGCTTCTGTGTTTGGAGCTTCTGTGCTTCCTTGCCTACAACAGGGGCCATTGGGGGAGGAAGGCCCTGCCCCCCCCCAGATCCCTGCCCCGCCAGGAGGAGGAGCAGAAAGGGGGGCAGAGAAATAAGCCTTGGGGTGCAGGGGCTGGAAGGCCATGTGGAGGCAAAGGAGGGGGGGTTAACACCCAGGGTTTCCCCGAAGCCATGAAGAGGAGGAGGATGTAACCACCACCTGAGATGAATTCACATGATACACCAAGCTGACCCCTCACCCACCAGCTGCACACACAGCACATGGACCACCCAGAGAGTTTAACATGATTAAACCTTATAGGTCATTTAATCCAACCCCCCTGCCCAAGCAGGAGACCCTACACCAATTTCTGACAGATGGCAGCCCAGTCTCTTCTTGAAAGCCTCCAGGGATGAAGCTCCCACAATTTCCGAAGGCAACTTCTGTTCCATGGGCTGATTGTTCTCCCTGTCAGGAAATTCCTCCTTATTTCCAGGTTGAATCTCTCCTTGTTCAGTTTCCACCCATTCTTCCTTGTCTGGCCTTCAGGTGCTTTAGAAAATGGTTTGACCCCCTCCTCCTCTCTGGGGCAGCCCCTCAAATATTGGAAGATGCTATCCTATCTCCCCTGGTCCTTTTTACTAGAGTAGACCTATCCAGTTCCTGTAACCGTTCTTCATATGTTTGAGCCTCCAGTCCCCTCATCATCCTGGTCGCTCCTCTGCACTCTTTCCAGAGCCTCAGCATCTTCTTTGTGATGTGTTGATCCACATTGGCTGCAGGATTCCAGGTGCGGCCTCACCAAGGTTTTATAAAGTGATACTAAGACTTCACATTCTATGTCTTTCTGTTTATACAACCAAATATTGTATTCACTTTTTGGGCTGCCGCCACACACAGCTGACTCATTGGTCTTCTAGTCTACACCCCCCCACACACCCTGCACAAGCTCATACAATCTAGAATCTAAGGCTGGAAGGGACCTCGGAGGTCTTCTAGTCTACCCCACATGCCCAAGCTGATAGAATCATAGAATCGTAGGACTGGAAGGGACCTTGGAGGTCTTCTAGAGCAGCAGTCGCCAACCGATGGTCTGCAGCCCACTGGTGGTCTGCAAGAAAATGTTGGTGGGCCACAGAGAAATGTCACCCCCAGAGCACCCACCACCAAAGCAATTAATCCAGGCTGTGCGGAAACACAAGGCTGAGCTGCCCAAATGGCCCGCGGGAGCCCTCCCCACCCACTCACTCCTTACCTGGCAAACTTGCCTTCTACGTTGCTGTTTTTCCTTTTTTCCTCCCCTGACCATCAGCTGTTCTACTCTGCCGGGAGATTTAGATTAGCTAGGAAGCAGGAAATGGTTGGATTTCTTGCTTTCTAGCTAGTCTTTAGATCTTCGTCTCTGCTTTTAAGCACAGCCGAACCTCCCTTAGGACTGAAGTTTCTGTTATTCAGTGCAGACTCACAGCAAGCAAATTTCATGTGACAGACTCAGGTAGCCGGTGGCAGATAGATAGATCAATGAAGGATTCTGTGAGCAACTCAATCTGCCTGCCTGCTTTGCCTGATTTTGGGTAAAAGTTGCTCTTTTAAAAAATAAATAAATCAATATTTACATACATGATGTGCTGTGAGTTAATTTTGTGAGTTTGCTTGCTAGCAAATTTTATGGGTTTGCTTGTAAACAAATTTTATGTGATAGGCTCAGGTAGCTGATGGCAGAAAGACAGATCTCTAAGTAGATCTGTGATTCTGTGAGCAACTCAATCTGCCTGCCTGCTTGGCCTGGTTTTGGGTAAAAAGTTGCTCTTTTTTAATAAAAAAAATTCAATATTTACAAACATGGTGTGTTGCGAGTTAATTTTGTGAGTTTGCTTGCTAGCAAATTTTATGTGACAGACTCAGGTAGCCAATGGCAGAAAGATAGATCTCTGAGTGAATCTGTGATCCTGTGAGCAACTCAATCTGCCTGCCTGCTTTGCCTGATTTGGGGTAAAAGTTGCTCTTTTCTTTATAAAAAATTCAATATTGATATAAATATTTATAATATTTACATACAAGCCGTGCCCAGCCAGTCACATGACCACCAAGCCACACCCACACCCACAGAACCGGTTGTTAAGAAATTTGAATCCCACCCCTGCCTCTGTGTTTGTGTGTGTGTGTGAGAGAGAGAGAGAGAAAGAGAGAGAGAGAGAGGGAGGGAGAGAGGGAGAGAGAGAGGTTAGATCAGATCTCTCTTTCTCTCTCCTTCTCCCTCCCACCAACGTCAGCAAGCCACCCTCAGTCAAAATTCATATTAATGGTCCCCGGGATTTAAAATTATGAGTTTGGTGGTCCCTGAGGTCCAAACGGCTGGCGACCCCTGGACTAGTCCACCCCGTCACCCAGACTCATAGAATTGTACAGTTGGAAGGAACTTTGGGGGACTTCTGGAGGGAAGCTGTTCCAGTAGTTAATCGATTCCCACCATCAGGAAGCTTCTTCCTAATTCCAGGTTGCGTCTCTCCTTGATTAGTTTCCATTCATTATTTCTTGTCCTGCCTAGAGGTGCTTTGGAGAATAATTTGAGCACACACTTCTTTATAGCAGCCCCCCAAATACTGGAACATGGCTGTCATGTCACTCCTGGTCTTTCTTTTCACTAGAGTAAACATATCCAATTCCTGCAACCATTCTGCCCTCTCATGCATCTGGCCACCTTTTAAGCAAATCTATGTATGTATGTATGTATGTATGTATGTATGTATATAAATGTGTGTGTGTGTGTGTGTATGTTCCAGCATAACTCTGGAATGCCTCCAGCAATTTCAACCAAACTTGGTACACAGATTACTTACTCTCTGGAGACAAATACGTGTGTGTGTGTGTGTGTGTGTGTGTGTTTAACACCCCTAACACCCCTCGGGGTGTGTGTTGTGTTAAGATACAGCCTGTTGTGCCTTAAAATGGCTTCTACTGTACTGCCTTTATATGGCTTCTACTATACAGTGCTGTGGAGTTGCCATGGTAACAGCTTCACAGTACTCCACAAGGGGGCTCCCTCTGGTAAGGGGGAAAATCCAACCTTAGAAATTACGTTTGTTCCGGGATATTTTCAACAAGGCTTTGATTTATTCTTGAGGACAAATGTATGGCCATAAATAAATACCCGGGCAATGCCGGGATTATTGGCTAGTAAAACAATACTGCTGACACACAAGCCTGATACACTGGGTTGAACTCATTTATTGTCTTCCCGTCATTACACACACAAAACATCTCCCCTGGAGTGATGGAGAAGGGAAAGGAACTTTGGACACGCAAAGAGTGACCGAAAGAACAGATGGCGAGTTTTAAGAGGAAAGGCCAGTGAATTTGCACAGCCCCATAGTTGGGTTCTCACAACGTACTTCATCCAGGGGATTACAATATTCTAAACCAGGGGTCTCCAACCTTGGCAACTTTAAGCCTGGCGGACTTCAACTCCCAGAATTCCCCAGCCAGCTTTGCTTTGAATTCTGGGAGTTGAAGTCCGCCAGGCTTAAAGTCGCCAAGGTTGGAGACCCCCCCTGTTCTAAACTGAATGAACATTTTGTGGGTCTTTTTTTGTGGTGTTGTGGGACTCTTAGCTTGTGGTCCAATCTGCTGAGTGGACCCAGGACATGGGTGAAGCCAGATGTTCCCTCCTGCCCGAATTGCTGTGTGAATCTAGCTATCCTACTTTGTGGACTGGGGATTGTGAGTTTGTGCATTAACTGAACATTAAAAAAAAGTTGGGTTGCGTTTCCTTAGTCTTTGTACTGGTAGTCCTCGACTTACAGAGTTCATTTAGTGACTGTTTAAAGTTGAGAAAAGTGACTTTCACGCTTGTGACCATTGCAGCATCCCCATAGTCACATGATCAAAATTCGGACGCTCTGGCAACTAGCTCGTACTTATGACGGTTACAGTGTCCCGCGATACCCCTTTTTGTGACCTTCTGACCAAGTAAAGTCAATGAGGAAGCCCAGATTCACTCCACAAGGGCATGATTCATTGAACAACTGCAGTAATTCACTTAACAACAGTGGCAAGGAAGCTCGTAACACGAGACCAAGCTCACGATGGAGGTTTCACTTAGCTACAGAAATTGTGGGCTCCATTCTGGTTGTAAGTCAAGGACTAGCCCTGGTGAACTCTCGGCATCAGCCAGCCTACTGGGGACGCCTGGAAGTGGAGGAAGGACGCGGATAAGGGGGCCACGTGGCTGCACAAGGGAGGAGGGGATTGTTGGCGTCCAGCTGGATGGACTTGAGCCAAAGGGGCCACAAAGGGGAGTCAACCACTCATCCCGCTGGATCCACCGGTAGACAAATTTCTGCGGACAGCACAGAAGTGGAACAGAGCTGGGGAGAGAAAGGGGAGAAGGTTAGTGTGATGGGCCAAAGGGGCGTGGCACAAAGCCAACACAGTCAGATAATCAGTAGGAGTCCCTTTATTAGCTCCAACTCTGCCCCCAATGTCCTGGTTACCTTCTGGGCTGGAGAAAAACTCTCCCAGGTACAGAATCCCTTGATTCTGCAGAGAATCAAGGCCAAAACATGGTCAACAAAAACTGGAACTGCAAGTCCAATCAAGGCAAAATGAGGTAATTAGTCTGGCAGGGCAGGAGAAGGAATTCCAGACGTGAAGGCACGGCAGTAATTTAACACAGTTGGGAGGATGCCAGGAACGCAGATAACTAACATCAACATAAGATAAACTCACGTTTGTTCCCAGCAAATGCGGCTCTCAGCTGCCTCTTCTTTAAACTCTCTGTGGCTAATGAAAGGAATCAGGGCCCTTTCCTCCCCCGTAAGCCATACAACTCACGTTGCTCCCTCCTCCGTTCCTCCCTGTGTGCCCTAGGATGAAGAGGGGGCGGGCTGGGTCTTCCTCTGAACTTCCTCTCCCTTGTTCTACCTCTTCCCTGCTCTGCCCAGCTTTGCCCTTCTCCATTTTACTCCACAGCCAACCTCCGACAGTTAGGGTCAGTTATATCCCACCCTTAGCCCTGTCCAGGATTGCCTGTTTTGGGCACTTTGCTTTTAATTACAACTTAGCCCAAATTTCTCACGATTTTTCCAAGATGGAGGAAACAGGGCCTATCATGCTAAGCAGTGAACATGAGAGACAGAGCTCAGGTGATAAGCAAGGACCGCCGCCTCCTGATCCGAGAGCACGAAGAGTGGAGAGAAGGTGAGAACAGCTCAGAGTGAGCCGACTACTCGGGAGGAGAGTGCCCCACCCCTCTCCACAAGGCACACCTGGGGACTGAGACTTAAGGAGACGATGTGGGGAGGGGCATTTATCGGGAACGAACGCTGAATTCCTGGGGTGTTGAATGCCGACGTTTGAACTTTCCTGGATTCCTTGCATTCTTTCTGGATTTATTTGGCTTTATGGAGAAACTTCCCAGATTATCAGAGTTTCTCATTCTGGAAGTTGAAGTTTGCACATCTTAACTGGTTAACATCTTAACTCTGAAATGGTACAGATTCTCCTCCTTGAGCAGGGGGCTGGACTAGAGGACCTCCAAGGTCCCTTCCAATTCTGTTATTCTATTCTATTCCATTCCATTCCATTCATTATTTCATATTCTAGTCTATTTTCTATTCTATTCTATTCTATTCTATTCTATTCTATTCTATTCTATTCTATTGTATTCTATTCTATTCCATTCCATTCCATTCCATTCCATTCCATTCCATTCCATTCTATTCTATTCTATTCTATTCTATTCTATTCTGCATTCTGTTCTATTCTATTCTATTCTATTCTGCATTCTATTCTATTCTATTCTGCATTCTGTTCTATTCTATTTTCTATTCTATTATTTTCTATTATATCCTATCCTATCCTATTTTATTCTATTCTATTCTTCATTCCAATATTCTATTCTATTCTATTCTATTCTATTCTATTCTATTCTATTCTATTCTGCATTCTATTCTATTCTATTCTGCATTCTGTTCTATTCTATTTTCTATTCTATTCTATTATTTTCTATTATATCCTATCCTATCCTATCCTATCCTATTTTATTCTATTCTATTCCACTCCATGGAGTTCCCAGGGACACAGTCTGTAGGCAACACAAGCACACATGCCAACACACAGCAGAGGTAGTCCACGACTCACAACTATTCATTTAGTGACTGTCTGAAGTTGCAACAACACCGAGAAAGGTGACTTATGGCCGTTCTTCACCCTTATGACGGCTGCAAGCATCCCCAGGGTCACCCGATCAAAATTTGGATGCTTTGTCAACTGACTCATATTTATGACAGTCGCAGAGTCCTGGTTCCCCCTATTTGCAAACTTCTGACAAGCCAGGGAAGCCAGATTCACTTAACAACCGGGGTTAGGAACTTAACAACTGCAGTGATTTGTTTAACAGCAATGTGTGATAAAGTGGGGCAAAGCTCACTTAAGCTCACAACCGTCTTTCTTAACAATGGAAATTTTGGGCTCCGTTGTGGTTGTAAGATGAGGACTACCTTTACCATAGGATGAAGACTCAGGAATCCAGCAACCAGAGACCACCCCCCAGAGGCCCCGCCCCCCCCCCCTGGATCTGGAAGACGAGGGGAAGCTGGCTACACACGCTCACAGAGCCCCAATACCTGCTGAGAAGGTCAGGAGGACCGCGATCCAGCCCAGAATGTACGACCAGGAGAAGCGCCAGTCGGCGTAGCGCTTGCTGTAGAAATTCAGAGTCACGCCGGTGTAGACGGAGAGGCCCAGCAGGGCGAAGAGTCCTGGGAACAAAACGGGGGGTTTTCTTGAAACGATGTGAATTTGGGGGAAAATATCAAACTAGGCTTAGAACACAGAGCATAGAATAAGGGGGTTTGAAGGGACCCTGGAGGTCTTTCTATGCTTAGCCAAGCAGGGGACCTTACACCATTCTGGAAACATGGCTGTCCAGTCTCTTCTGGAAAACTTCCAGTGTTGGAACAACCACAACTTCTGGTGGGAAGCTGTTCCACTGGTTAATTGTCCTCACTGTCAGGAATGTTCCCTTTAGTTCTCAGTTGCTTCTCTCCTCGCTTAGTTTTCCATCTGTTGCTTCATCTCTTGCCCACGTTTAAGTCTATTGGCAAAGGTTCCACTCTGCAGAGCTTGTGTTTTCCCATTTGCTCAGCCTCCCAATTCCCCGGTCAAACTATCCTGTCTCCATCTTTCTGTAGAGCCACTTATAGAATAACAGAGTTTGGGAGGGACCTTGGAGGCCACCTAGTCGAACCCCCTGCTCGAGCAGGAGAGTCTATTCCAAATATTAACCTCTACCTAGCATTGAACTCACATCCTCCGGATTGTGAGGTTACCAGATCGTTCAAGATCGTTCTGGATCTTGAGCCTATCTTCTAAAGCAGAGGTCCCCAAACTTGTCCACTTAGCTAGCTGAGGAATTCTGGGCGTTGAAGTACACAAGTCTTAAAGTTGCCAAGTTTGGGGACCCCTGTTCTAAAACGTTGCCTATTCCTACCAGCTTGGTATCATCTGCAAATTTGATGGGTTCCCCTTCTGTCCTTTCATCTAAATTGTTTATGAAGATGTTGAAGAGTCCTGGGCCCGAGACAGAACCTTGTGGCAGCCCACTGCTTGCTTCCCTCCATGTCAATGCAATTCTATTGAGGACAACACGTTGAGTGCGGTTGGTCGCCAGTCACAAATCCATCTGATGGCAATGCCACATTTTTCTAGCTTACTAAGAAGTAAATTGTGGTTCTACTTTATCAAATGCTTTACTGAAGTCTAAGTATTCTATGTCCACAGCATTTCACTGATCCACTAAGTTAGTCACTTTGTGAAAGAATGAAATAAATTTTGTTTGGCATGACCTGTTTTTGACAAACCTGTGCTGGCTTCTAGTAATCAGATACAGATGATTAGAGTTGGAAGGGACCTTGTAGGTCATCTACTCCAACCCCCCACCCAAGCAGGAGACCCTACACCATTTCTGACAGATGGCAGCCCAGTCTCTTCTTGAAAGCCTCCAGGGATGAAGCTCCCACAACTTCCGAAGGCAACTTCTGTTCCATGGGTTGATTGTTCTCCCTGTCAGGAAATTCCTCCTTATTTCCAGGTTGAATCTCTCCTTGATTAGTTTCCACCCTTTGCTTCTTGTCCTGCCTTCAGATGCTTTGGAAAATAAGTCAACCCCTTCTTCTTTGGGGCAGCCCCTCAAATATTGGAAGAGTGCTATAATGTCACCCCTACTCTTTTTTACTAGAGTAGACATATCCAATTCCTGCAACCGTTTGTAGTATTTTTGAGTCTCCAGTCCCCTCATCATCCTGGTTACACTGAATCTCTCCCTGTACAGTTTCCATCCATTATTCCTTGTCTGGCCTTCAGGTGCCTTGGAAAATGGCTTGACCCCTTCCTCCTCTCTGGGGCAGCCCCTCAAATACTGGAAGGCTGCTCTCCTGTCTCCCCTGGTCCTTCTCTTCCCAAGACTAGCCAGGCCCAGTTCCTATAACCGTTCCTCATATGTTTTAGCCTCCAGTCCCCTCATATAGAAGCAATCTACATAGACTTCTGTAAAGCCTTTGATTCAGTGGTACACGACAAACTACTCCTAAAACTAAAACTAAAATCTTACAGTATCTCTGGACACCCGCATAACTGGATAGAAGCATTTCTGTCAAACAGACAACAAATGGTCAAAATTGGGAACATCCTATCAAATTCTGTACCTGTCAACAGTGGTGTCCCCTAAGGCAGTGTTCTAGGACCAACTCTCTTCATACTCTACATAAATGACCTCTGTGATCATATTAAGAGCAACTGCATTCTTTTTGCTGATGGTGTAAAGCTATTCAACACCACAGACAATACTGCTACCCTTCAAAAAGACCTCGACTATGTATCAGAATGGTCAAACAAATGGCAACTTCAAATCTCAACAAATAAATGCTCTGTCCTACATATTGGCAAAAAAAATCAGAAAATAAAATACAGGCTGAATAGTCAAGACCTTGTTGATGATCCAAACTCTGTCAAGGACCTTGGAGTATTCATCTCTAATGATCTAAGTCCTAGAGCCCACTGTAACTACATAGCCAAAAAGGCATTAAGAGTTGTTAATCTAATCCTATGTAGCTTCTTCTCTGATAATATCACACTACTAACTAGAGCATACAAAACATTTGCTAGACCTATACTCGAATACAGCTCATCAGTCTGGAACCCGCATTACGTATCGGATATTAATACAGTTGAGAAAGTCCAGAAATATTTCCCTAGAAGAGTTCTCCGCTCCTCTACTCATTGCAGAATACCTTATGCCACCAGACTTGAAATTCTAGACCTAGAAAACCTAGAACTACGCCGCCTTCGGTCCGATCTAAGTATAGTATATAAAATCATACATTGCAATGTCCTACCTGCAAATGAATACTTCAGCTTCAACCATAACAACACAAGAGCAAACGAAACAAACTCAAGGTAAATGACACCAAACTTGATTGCAGGAAATACGACTTCAGCAACAGAGTGGTCAATGTCTGGAATACTCTACCTGACTCTGTGGTTTCTTCCCCAAACCCCCAAAACTTTAACCTTAGACTGTCTACTATTGACCTCACCCCTTTCCTAAGAGGTCTGTAGGGGGCGTGCATAAGCGCACCAACGTGCCTACCGTCCCTGTCCTATTGTTTCTTTTATTTTTTTATTTTTCTTATATGTATCCATGTATTCATAACTATGTTTTTACTTATATCTATTATCTTGTAAGCAATTGACAAATAAAAATAAGTAAAATAAAATAAATAAATAAATCATCCTGGTTGCTCTTCTCTGCATTCTTTCTAGAGTCTCAACCTCTTTTTTTATAGTGTGGTGACCAAAACTGGATGCAGTACTCTAGGTGTGGCCTTAGTAAGGCTTACTAATACAGGTGGACAGGTTGAAGTCACACCAAGGTGTCTTCATGTGGCTTGAAGCCATCGTTGTATTATAAACAGCAACACTCAAGCCAGAGACCTCCAAACTTGGCAACTTTAAGACTTGTGGACTTCAACTCCCGGAATTCTGGGAGTTGTAGTCCACAGGTCTTAAAATTGCCAACTTTGGGGAGATCCTTGCTCTCAGCTAAAACCAAGCAAGCCACTTTCCACTATAGATTAGGGATCCCCAAACCTTTTCCTTCGTTCCCCCAAACCGCTGATCAGAATGTCCTCATTTAAATGTCCAGTATGGTGACCAAAACTGGGTGCAGTACTCTAGGTGTGGCCTTACTAAGGCTTTATAGAGTGGTAGTAGTACCTCCCTTGATCTTGATTGTATCCCTCTGTTAATGCAATCACCTTGTTCAGTTTCTAGGTTGTTGTGGTTAGCCGGCAGCAGGTGCGGATGGCTGAGGAGAGCGAGGACTCAGATGAGGGGCAGGACCATCAGGGAGTGGACTGCTGCCTTCAGAGATTGGGGGGGGGGCTGGCAGCAGCGATGAGGTGGTTCCCGAGGAGCCTGTGCCAAGTGCGTATGCGTGCAGGATTGCTCACAGGAAAGAGCAGCTACAACAGCACAGGTGACTTGGGAGTAAGGCTGCAAGGTAATGGCCCCTCCTTCAAGAAGATAAAAGCCAGCTGTGAATCGGACGTTCTTTGCAGGAAGCAAAGACGTTTTGAAACTCGAGCCTTGTGGGCATTGCAGTATCTTAGTTGGTATTTGAAGACTCTTGCGTTGTGAAATATTTCTTATCTGTTATTCTTGGCAGCCTCGCACAGTTTTGGCGAGGTTTGTGCTTATCAAAGTTAATTGGTTTGCAGCAGCCTTTTAACCGGGGATTCGTAAGAATCCTTAAAAGGTTTCTGTTCCCTTCGGTTCATGTTTGTTTTATTGGAAAAGGTCAGAACATAGGTGCTCGAAAATACACCGCTTACCTCTGGATAGAGTGGTGGTTTGTCAGGCTTGGAGACAGCTGGACTTCAACTCCCAGAATCCTCCCAGCCAGACCCACTTACCTGCGATCAAGAGGGTGACCCCTGCCGAGCGACTGCGGGAGAAGCGGTTGGTGCCAGAGTAGGTCATCAGCTCCAGGATAATCCCAGCAAAGGAAGAGAGGATTGAGATGAGCATGAAGGCTCTCGTGGCGTCCCAGAAAGCTGTGGGTTGGGGGAGCAAGAGCCATTGGTTTCCCTCACACCACGCTTAGCTTCAAGTTCACTTTCTGAACTTGAAGCTAACGTGAACGTGAGCTTAATGACCGGTTCAAAGTTAGGATGGGGTCCTTCCCAGAGTTACTTTACCACCCAGCGTTCTGATAGTCACAGTCATTTTTTGGTCACAGTTGTTAAATGAAGCGCTGAAGTTGTTAAGTGAATCGAGCAGTCATTAGGCAAATCCGCCATCCCTCATTGACTGGACTTGGGGGAAGCCAGCTTGAAAGATCACAAATGGTGATCCCGTTGATCCTAGGACAGAGGTCCCCAAGTTTGGCCACTTTAAGACTTGTGGACTTCAACTCCCAGAATCCCAAACTTGGCCACTTTAAGACTTGTGGACTTCAACTCCCTGGTAGTTGAAGTCCACAAGTCTTAAAGTGGCCAAGTTTGAAGACCTCTGTCCTAGGGCATTGCAACCATTTGGAGAAGATATCAAGATAGAAAGTGGGAGATGGTGAATTCTAGTTCTGCCTTAGCCCTGAAAGCCAGTTGGGTGACTTAGGGCCAATCACCAGGAGACAGTGAGTTCTAGTCCCACCTTAGCCATGAAAGCCAACTACTTCTCAGTCAAACCCACCTCACAGGGCTGTTGTTATTAGGAAAATGGGAGGAGGAAGATGTGTTGGATATGTTCCTTGCCTTGAGTAATTGCAAAAGTAGTGAAGGCAGGATACAAATAAAATAAAATAATTAATATATGCTGATTGACAATTGCCCAAATTTGGACCTCATCACCATGGAAGTGTTCAATAGTTGTTGGTGTGAGAACTGGTCATGTCACTTTTTTCAGCACCATTGTAACTTTGAACCGTCGCTATATGAATGTCCATAAGTCAAAGACTACCATATCTTTACAGATGCTCAGAGGATGCCCTAAATCAGGGGTGTCCATCCTTGGCAACTGAAATGGTATAGATTATCCTGGTTGGGGAGGGGGCTGGACTAGAAGACCTCCAAGGTCCCTTCCAGCTTCTATTCTATTCTATTCTATTCTATTCTATTCTATTCTATTCTATTCTATTCTATTCTATTCTATATTCTGTTCTGTTCTGTTCTGTTCTGTTCTGTCTGTTCTGTTCTGTTCTATTCTATTTTCTATTCTATTCTATTTTATTCTATTCTCTGTTCTGTCTGTTCTGTCTGTTCTGTTCTGTTCTGTTCTGTTCTCTATTCTATTCTATTCTATTTTATTCTATTCTATTTTCTGTTCTCTTCTGTTCTGGTCTGTTCTGTCTGTTCTGTTCTATTCTATTCTATTCTATTCTATTCTATTCTATTCTATTCTATTCTATTCTATTCTATTCCATTCCATTCCATTCCATTCCATTGAAGGCCTGTGGACCTACTCTCAGAATTCCCTAGTCAGCCACGCTTTAAGACAAACTGGCTGGGGAATTATGGGAGTTGAAGTCCACAGCTCTTCAACTTGCCGAGGTTGGAAGCCACCCCTGTACTAAACCAGCCCAATAGGGGCTCTTGGGATGGTGCAGCGAAAACAGCCCCATTTTCCAGCCCCCAACCATGGTCTCCTCACCGAGGGTGATGGTGTGCGGGTGGCATTTGTTCCCCACACAGAAGCGCCAGAGCCCTTGGTTGCTGAGGTTGCCGGAGTATCGGTATTGCATCCAAAAGTCCGTCGCTGTGGCAACAATGAGGAGGACCAGCCCAGAAGTGGCGCACAACAGGGCCCCTCCCATCCAGCCGAACATCGTGGCCCCTGGTGGTCGAGACGCTCCAGCGGGGTCTCCTTTTGGAAGAAGAAAGGGGTGGGGGAAATTCTGCAAACTGGGAAAATCAGCCCAATTGGGATGTCCTGGTATGATTTGATTGCATCCTAGTATGATTATCTAGTAGACGTCCTTGTATGACCAACAACTCTCATTAAGTGTTGCCCCTGATGATTCCTGACTCTTGACGGATGGATCTTTTCTTTTATGTACCCTGAAAGCATTTGCACCAAAGACGAATTCCTTGTGTGTCCAATCACACTTGGCCAATAAAGAGATTCTATTCTATTCTATTCTATTCTATTCTATTCTATTCTATTCTATTCTATTCTATTCTATTCT